TGGCAGCCAGCAAAACCCCTTGTCCCTCCGGGTGGACGCTATATGGTATCCTTTCAAGCATGCGCAGTTTACATGCCTGCAGAGCCACGCAGCGGCGCGATCTGTCACCAGCTGTGTACCTCGGACACGGCTGATGACAGATCTGAGTACCGGCCCCGTTGCCAGTACCATGTGACCTGCTGTGACCAATCACCAGGTCACATGACAGTTGTATACAATGCATGGCTTCCTTTCATGCCATCCATTGTATACTAGTGTGTCTAGCTGTGAATGGTCACAGTGATCACATGCACAAGCTGGGCCAATCACAGCCCTGTGTCATGTGATTAGCTGTGGCCAAATCACAGCTAAGCACAGAAAAAAAACCCTGAATGAATCGATGTCATTCAGGTAAATGCTTGCTTATAGCAAAGTAATGCTTTGCTATAAGCAAATTGTGTAAAAAAAAAAAAAAAAAAAAAAAAAAAAAGAAAGAAAATACTGATTACTTCCCCAAAGTAATACAAGTTACTATGGTAAAATGTACTACTTTGGTCATAGTGAAATATGAGAAAAAAACTTAAAAAAAAAAGAAAAAAAAATGTAATAAAAAATTAAAACTAATAAAAAAATTTAAAAAAATTTTTTTTATATAATTTTTTTCATACTGTCACCAGTCAGTATCCCTGATCACCGCCATGCCAGTTATATGATGACGCTGTACTGCACTGGTGACACAATGTAAAAAAAAAAATAGCGAAAATAATTTTTTTCAATTTTTTAATTTTCCAAAAAATTTACAAAAAAAATTCCAACTTCAAAAACTCGCCATGCCTTTTATGAAGTACGTCGGACTGTCTACTTTGCAAAGAGGGTCATTTGGGGGATATCTGTACTGTTCTGACATTCTTGGACCTCAAGAAATTAGATTGGCTTTCAGTACTTCAGGATTGATCAATATTCAGATATATCCCATAGTTTGTGAACGCTATAACTTTCTACAAACTAAATAATAAATACTGATTTGGGTTATTTTCACCAAAGACATGTAGCAGAATACATCTTGGCCTACATTTATGAAGAACAATTATTTATGTGCAAACTTTTATAACAAAAACAAAGAAAAACGTGTTTTTTTTTTTTTTGTTTTCAAAAGTTTTTTTTTTTTTTTTGTTAATTTAGCAGAAAATAAAAAACCCCTGGCGGTGATTAAATACCACCAAAAGAAAGCTCTAGTTGTGTGAAGAAAATTATACAATTTTAGTTTAAGTACAGTGTTGTATGACCGCGCAATTGCCATTCAAAGTGTGAGAGCGCTGAAACCTGAAAAATTGGCCTGGGCAGGAAGGGGGTAAAAGTGCCCGGTATGGAAGCGGTTAAAATCGCGTGAAGTTGCTTACTCTGATTTCACTGCACATTATGATCTTCTCTCAGTGTGGATTAGAAGCTGAAGTCTAGTATGATGTAGTCTTTCCTCTCCAGCCTGACTGTCCCTGGCCTGCAGCTTTCACCGGATTTCAGTTTTTGCAATCATGGAGACTCAGTATCACATGTTGGAGGATTGTCCTGCATTACTATCATGGTCTTGAAAGATGCAGAATTATTCCTGTACAACTGCTTGAAGAAAGTGTCTTCTAAAAACTGGCAGTAGGTTTGGGAGTTGATTTTGAGTCCATCTTTACCTGTAACTAGCTCATCTTTGATAATACCAGCCCATACCAATACCCCACCTCCACCTTGCTGGCGTCTGAGTCCAAGTGGAGCTGTGTGCTCATTACTGATCCAACCACGGCCCCATCCATGTGGTCCATCAAGTGTCACTCTCATCTCATCAGTCCATAAAATCTTTGCAAAATCTGTCTTCAGATATTTCTTGGCCCAGTCTTAACCCAACTTGTCTTGTTCATTGGTGGTCGGGGTTCAGCCTTCCTTACTTTGGCAATTTCTCTTAGCACTGAGCACCTTGTACTTCTAGGTCATCCAGGTTGCAGTTCTGGAATATGACCGCACTGTAAAATAATGGGTTGCTGGTAGCTCGAAATTTGATTCTTGTCATATCTTTGGTAGTTAATTGGCATCTTTTTTTTCCTCAACACGTTTTCTTTTTTTTTTTTCAAATCTTCATTTATTGGTATGACACAGGTACAATAAAAACGGTAACTTCACAAAACTGACAGACAACTTTAGACATTAGTTATAGCATCCAAGAGTAGGTACAATGCTCTATAAACAGGACCGCCCAAAATAACTGACCAAGGTTTAAGTGGTAAATGGACCATCGTCCATAAAGCAAGGCTACGGCCGTCCAGGGCCTCTTACAGCATATCCCAATGGCTACAACAGGGAAGGATGGGTCCCATTAATGGTCACGAAGGGCCGTTATCAACTGAGGTGAAGACTAAGGAGGGGTAATCAATCTATCACCAGCTGTCCATACTGAGTTTTTGTGGATATTATAGGAAGAAAAAGATATGAAAAGGAAAATAGAAAAATTATGGGGAGAGAAAGTTGGAATGAAGAGAGATGAAAGTACAGGGGGGAGGGGAATTGGGTAAGTAAGGAGTGATGTTGTGGGGGGGAGGGGGGCATGGTGAAAGTGGGGAGGGGGGGAAAAGAAAAAATCCTCACAGGGACCAGGAAATGCAAAGACAGAGCAGGCAGCACCGGGGTGGATTTGATTTAAATCACTAGTGGAAAGGCTGGCTTTAAATCATAATTTTTAAAGAGCAACTGTCATCTCTGTCCTATAGCGACTCCTCCTCTGACCCTCTATTGACTCACCGACAGTCCCATTCACTTTAATGGGAGGGCTGGTGATGGGGCAGTGACACAACAAGGTGAGGGGACGTGGCGGCAGCAGGTGAGTGGATGCCAGCTAACAGGCGCTACCATGATGGATCTATAATGACAGGTGCTCTTTACATGTAAGGAATCCGACTTATTCTTGCTGGTAGTTAGAATCTTTAATATTTGCAAACCAAATTAAGGTTTCCTTTTTAGAATAATAAGCTGTCAGGTTAGTAAAACAGCGATATCAGAACTGATTTTAGGTTAATCACACATAGCTGGAGAACTACTCAAATTCTTTTATTTCATGTTTTTTTTTTTTTTTTTTTTTTCCCATGGCTACTGTGAAATTATGTGAATGCATCAATGCAGTGCATGTTATCTCAGCTTACAGAGCTTGGATTCATTGAGTTTACCAAAAATGTAAATATTGCAGAATATACAGCCTCATGCTACATAACTAAGCTCCATTGCATGCTGAATAAACAAAATTATTCATGTATCTTAAATAGAAAACTATCTTTTAGATAGATTTTTACTCCAAAAGCATTTTATTAAAATAAATTTGATAAAAATAAAAAAAATCTGATTTTTCTTTATTAATGTTTTTGTTAATCATTGATTTTTATCCACCCTGGGCAGCACCAGTCATGTGTACAGGTGAATCTACGTGTATTGAAGGAATTCATCAGAGAAGCAGAAGCAGAGGTCCCAGTAGAACCACTTTTTTTTTTTTTTTTCCCCAGAGCTCAGCAGTCAGGTCCTCAATCTGCTCAATATCATCCACTCTTGCAAGCCATTGGGCCACTGTACAGACTGTTTTCAATGACACGGGATGCAAGCCATGGCAGCGTTTAGGAGATGTTTGAGGAGGGATTTGTGGTAACGTTTACTCAACATTGGGGTGGGATTAAGGACAGCGTCTGGGTTATCCCTTAGTGAAATGTCTGTAACGTTATGTATACGTTGGAGAACAGGTTGCCAAAAAGTTAGCAGATTATGGCATTTTCCAAAAAACATTGCAGGATGGTGCCCAGGGGTGTGAATCACATTGCCAGCAGCCTAAGATTGATTGGTAGATTGATTGATTGGGGAAGAGTTTTGCAAGGATTGACGGGGTCCTGTACCATTGGGTTATGATTTTGCAAGTTGTTTCTTGATACTTGCTGCAGGGGAGGATTTCTGTGTGAAAAAGAGGATACGATCCTTTTGGCTGTCTGTAAAGATATCAACACATTTCTTGAGATGTTGACTATTTGCAACAAAATGTTTGATGGCTTTGTGATCACGCCCCAATATCTTTGGAAGTTCAATTTTACAATTTTTGACTTGAGTCCATTAAATCTCTTTTTTGGCTCATTTTGCCTGAGGAAAAGAAGCTGCGTAATAATTATGCACACTTTGATACAGGGTGTTGGTCTCCCTTATGGCACACCCTCCCTCATTACACAAATACACATCAGCTGATATTCTTAAATCCAATAAGCATTCAAGTTTATAGAACTTGGAGTTGGACAATATGCATAAAAATGATGATTTGGTGAAAATACTCGCCTGATAATTGTGCACACACTACAGAAGAGCAGGTTCAGGCGTACAACACCATTGCACAGAGCAGGTACAGGAAGTATAACATGTTTGTAATTTTTTGTTTTAATTAAAATAATGATCACTTAATTATAGTAGGTATTTAACCCCCCTAAATATATTTTATAGAAAGAAGCTTAGGGATATACAAGTGTAAGTTTACCTGTTGTTTTTTTTTTTTTTTTTTTTTATTTTCCCTCCTGTTCTGTAACGGAGTGTCCTGTTCCAAGTGGCCAGTCTTTATGCCTGTGTGTCTCTCATGGGGTCTAAGGTGAAATCCTCTGGTTGGCATACAGTGCAGAGGGACTAGAGGAAGCAGTTGGTATAAGACTCTACGTGGAGCATTACTCTGCGGAAAATCCTCTCATCTACGAGGATCAGAGCACTTCTTCCTGACATCCACTGTGTGATTATATAGTATTTATCGGCTCAGGGTAGATATTTCACACAGCAGTTTTCAGCTGCTAAAGTTGCTGTGTCAAGAGGTCCACTTCAAGAAGTCACTAACAGCAGATCATGATTACTGCTGTTAAGTTTCCAATCTTTTATGAACTCTTATTTTATTTGATAAGTTAAACGTGCTTATTTTACATTAGTGATGTGTGTACAGGTTTTACTGATGTTCCATTTGTCTTTTTTTTTTTTAGGATCTGTTAATGCTTGTGAAAAGACATCATTTATTTTCCTGCGACAGGAATTACCTGTGAGATTAGCAAACATAATGAAAGAAATAAACTTGCTTCCAGACAACCTCCTAAAGATGCCCTCAATAAAACTGGTGCAGAGCTGGTAAGAGAGCTTTCCACTGCATAGTAGATTTTGAGTGAGTTGCTAAAAAATAAAACTGGTAGGGTTTTTTTTTTTTTTCTTTTTTTTTTTGTTACATCTGTGATGTCATCAAGAGGGGAAGCACAGGAGGTGCTAGCTATCAACACAGTCAACATTTGCATATGTGTTCTAGGTTTGTGTGTGTGTGGCATGTATAGTATAATGTGTCAGGTTTGGTTTGCTTTATATTACATTCAAGTGCTAATTGGGAAGTACAAAGCTGATGGCTGTATCCTCCTTTTTTTTTTTTTTTTTTGTGTAAAAAATGCACTGGTTCTTAAAGGCCAGGTCCACCCTGTGGTGAACATGTAACTGTTTAGGACACCGGAGAGCTTCCTAGTATTCAGGCATATTATATTTTCTCAGGTATGTTCAGAGTTTCCAAGAAATAGTCGACTTTAAAGACAGAAATGCGGAGGACCCAGAAACTGTCAGAACGTAAGTGTATCTGTGACTATTTCATAGTGTGTGTATCTGTAGTGGTGGAAAAACACCTTCATATAATAGAACCATTAATATTGTTTAGCAGTGTGTATGATTACACATATTGTGTGATTTGTGATGTGAAGAAATGGCCTTACTAGTTGCTACTTGTTTTGGTGACTTTCCCTCAGAGATTTCCTATTCTCACTAGATTTTGTATTGGAGTATGCAACTAGCTTTGGAAAATTCAGTTTTCTCCATTTGTGTACGAGAATTGTAATACTTGTTCAAGTGTTTTTTTTTTTTTTTTGTGGAGGGGGTTATTAAGTGCTTTACAAAATGGCCACAAAGCATAACTTTTTATGATTTAATAAATGCTAATTGTCTTTGTTTTTGGTCAGTTTCACAGACACAGTGATAACCATCCGAAATCGGCACAATGATGTCATTCCCACCATGGCGCAGGGTGTCGTGGAATATAAAGACAGCTTTGGTGTTGATCCAGTAACGTCGCAAAATGTGCAGTATTTCTTGGACCGTTTCTACATGAGTCGCATTTCGATCAGAATGCTTTTAAATCAGCACAGTAAGTTTTTTTGTTTTTGTTTTTTTTTTTTGTTTTTTTACAGCTGCAGTAGGTTCTTGGGGCAAGGTCTTCACCAAGTTTAGTGCAGAGGAAAACTGTGCAGTTCCTACAGAAATATGGCATTGTTTTTGTCTAATTCAGTCTTAAAAACGGGAAATCTTTGCTGCCTTTCATGGCACCATTGTGATTTCTTTGCTGTACTTCAGTGGTTCTGACAACTGTTTGTTCTGCTAATGCTATTTCTAATATTGTGCATTGCAGTACAACAGCAGATACAGAACAAAACAGAAATGGGGCCTAAACAAACCCTAAAGGTACCATGTGATGGCCAGTTTGCTGTTAGAGATTTACTGCTGAACTCCGGTGACATTAAAAGAAAACTACCCTTGCAGTGGGGCTACACAGCACTGCAAGGGTTTAATGTTTGTTTTTACCTAGGGCACAATAAAAAGGAACTTTTACGAACCTTCTCCCTACCTCCCTCAGGCATCCTCTCTGTGCGACTGGTCCCCTGAAGACTCTTCTCTCCAGTGCTCTGTTCGTTGATTGCACCCATTGGTCATTGCACACAATGCAGGACCAGCAGTCATGTGTTGTGAGGATGCCAAGGGCCCACTCCAACCTGGCAGGGGTTGAGTAGAGTGCTAGTTTCTGGGGGGAGTAAGGGATGCTCTAGGCAAAAATAAACATTAAACCCTTGTGTCCCACTGCAAGGGTAGTTTTTTCATTTCTTTGGAGTTCAGCTGTAAGGCTTTGGCTGAAACAAGTTAGCATCTTGTTCTTGTGGATGCTTAAGATTGCTTTACATTTTATGAATAAAGTATTGTTCAGGATTGTATGCAGACTCCAGCTTTTGCATCTTTCGGTAAGGTTTGTGAGGTGTACTGGAGCCAGGCTGTTGAGACTGAGGTTTATCGTAGCACAGTGGAGGTAGTCCCCTTTCTTCGTGGTTGTTCGGACTATCCTTTCCATCCTACATCTTCTCATTAGGGTGTAGATATTGGGAGAAATCAGATCTATGGGGAAATACGTGACGGCGTTGCTTTCCTAATAAAGGGTTTGACCTAGAACCGTGGTCTCCAGACTGCAGCCTTGGGGCCAGATATGGTCCTTTTGCCTGCCTTTATCCAGCCCTTGGGGCATTATTGCTTTTACTGACACCAGTGACGCAGCACCATTTCTCCCACAGACACCAACGATAGGGCACTATTTCCCCCTTCTGACACCAACAATGGGGCACTATTCCTTCTACTAAAACCGATGATGGATTACTCTTGCTGACATTGAGGTCTTTTCTACTCCTACTGGCCACAGTACAGCCCCCTAAAGCATGAAGGATTGTAAACTGGCCCTTTGGAAACTTTGAAGACCCCTGATCTAGAACTTTCCACTAGGCTGATTTGCTTAGGTATAAATAGATTTTTCTAAAAAATCCAACTTTGCCACCGGGGAGTGTGTCGAAATGTAATTAATTTCCCTTCATCAATTTTATGATTCCTTCAGGTGTGGCATATATTTGAAGATTATGGATTGCATGTTTTCATCCTTTCTTCGGGCTGCTGCTAAATTACCTAAATCTGCCCTTCCTCTGAAAGGATCTTCATCCCATGTGTGTTTCTTTTCGTTTTACTAACAAAAAGGTGAATTAGATTTTTAACGGGGGTTTATTTCTGTAACATGCAGGCAGAGGCCTTTCCTCTCTCTATAATGGTATAATGGGTTAAACATTTCTCTTTACCCCGTCTAATTTAACTATTTGTTCTGCACGCTGGGCACCACAACAACTGGGCTGCTGTAGCCAACAAGGTTTGTGTCATCCTGGTAGGGCTGAATGTTGGTCACACCCACTCCAGCACCCTATATTAAGTAGTAACCAGAGCTGCCGATGAATGCATCTAAATGACGTAAGTACTCTTTGACCCATACACTGTAGGACTGGAGCTTGTCAGTACTATTGGGTATGGTATTTAAAAATTCCAGAGGTTTGCAGACTCTGCTCTGAGCTTATCCAGCCAAAAGTGATTTATTTAATGTATTAGACTTGCCCTTTTAAAGATTGATCATTTGCAATTGTAAAGTAAATTTAAAGGGTAACTCCACTTTCATGGAGAAAAAAAAAAATGGCAAATAAAAAAAAAAAAAAGTGTATACAATTGTGGCACAAGTCATATTGTAATTTGAATGTTATTAAAAAATGTCCTTTCCATTTCAATCTGCAGCGCTGTCATTTTCTGTGAAATGCAATGCAATATGGCTACCTGGAGGTATTCTGCACACAGGACGTGTACAGAATCCCCCGCTCCCCAGAAACATTATTTCCTGCTTGTGTGATTGGCTCACTGATTTTCCCAGATGTCTGCTTTTAAGATACAAGTCAAATTTCAACTACCCCTGCAACAAAAACATAATTTTTGGTGAAATACTCCTAATAGGAAATTGCGTCTAAAGGATGCAGACCCTGAAATTTTCCTCATTCGAGCCCTGTAGGTGCAGCAGTTGCTTGATGATTGTAAAACCACTCCTATTAGATTCACTTTCCACATGGACATAGACACACCGCTCTTTTTTCAGAATAACAAAAGGTAGGACTCTGCAACAAAGTTTGATACAATCCCTGCAATGTACATGGATCACCCAGAGGGGAAGGTTTGTTTGTTTGTTTTTTTTTCTAAACAAAAGCGGTTAATCTTTGTGTGTAGATTATAAATGCAGCTTTTCCACAATGATCACTGTCCTGTAAATTATTTTTATTTAACTTTTCAGCATTGCTGTTTGGCGGAGAAGTGAAAGTAAATCCAGCACATCCCAAGCACATCGGCAGCATAAACCCAACATGCAATGTGATTGACGTTGTTCGAGGTAGAACCCGCATGTCATAGAAATTTTTTCGAGTTCTTTTTGTCTGTCCTGTCAGAAGAGTAACGTGAAATAAGGTGTTTTATTTCTCAGCTGTTAACCCTTAAAAAGAAAATAATTCTGCCTGTAGTTATTGTATTAGAATAGGCTGCTTCCATACTGAGCAGTTTTTGTAGCTCTTCTGTGTAAAAAAAAAAAAAAAAAAAAAAAAAAAATGCACCTTCCCCATTAAGACATGGTTAACACCAATGTGTTAGGGTTTTTTTTTCAGAAAAGCACTATAGTCCATTAACCATGGTTTCCTATGGAACATGTTCACATCTAGGCTCTTTTGAGCTGCTGCGTTTTTGGAATGGGTTAGGGACGTTATTAAATGCAAAACGTTTGTTTGGTTCAACAGACTTGAATGGAGATGCTGCAGAAAACACATGTAGTGCATCTAGTTTTCACGTGTTTTTACGTGCCCAGCAACAAATTGGCCAAAAAAAATTAAAACACAACGCATCAAAAAACATGCATGCAAAAAAATGCAAAATGGACTAAACGCAAACTGCATTGGTGTGAACCAAGCCTGAAATGCATTGAAAACCCATCAAAAAACACACGCGTAATGTATTTTTATGCATTTTGTGATTTTAATCTGCCCAGCAACAAGTTGGGAAAAAAAAAGCATCAAAAACACGCATGCAAAAACGCAAAACAGATAAAAGACAAACTGCATTGGCGTGAACCAAGCCTGAAACATTGAAAACCCATCAAAAACACACACGCGTTTTTGATTCCTTTTTTGAGGGGGGGTCACATGACCTTTGAAAAACGTGGTAAAATTGTGGGCAAACTCACACGTTTTCGGTGCCCATTATCGACACCTTGTTTTCCTATCGGCCAAATGCTGATAACATTTTCGGACGATACATCGGTACATCCCTTCTTTTATTATTATGCATGACAGACTCTGTTGGCATAGACAGAAACTTGATACAATGTCCCTGCACCTGCTATCACTCATGCTGGGCATGCACAAACTTTTTTTTGTTCAAAAACTTTCGTTTGTAAGAACTTTCATTCGATTTTTTAATCATTCGCGTGGTCAAAGTGATGGTCATTTTCAACCACAGTGATGGGAAAATTCAAAGGAGCGGAATAGAAAGATTTTATTGTAATGTCTTATTCTTGTCTATCAACTTCTCTGCATTCAGACGCTGATCTTCCCTGTACTGAGCTGTATGTGTGATGCACTGTATTTTCTGATATGTAATATAATGCATTCTGTATGCAGGTCAACTAATTGGCTGACCAACTAATCGATTTATAAAAATAGTTGACAACTATTTTTATAATCGATTAGAATTGATTATGTTGATTAGTTGTTTCAGCCCTATACAGGTGAAACTCGAAAAATTAGGATATCATGCAAAAGTTCATTTATTTCAGTAATGCAACTTAAAAGGTGAAACTAATATATGAGATAGACTCATTACATGCAAAGCAAGATAGTTCAAGCCGTGATTTGTCATAATTGTGATGATTATGGCTTACAGCTCATGAAAACCCCAAATCCACAATCTCAGAAAATGAGAATATTGTGAAAAGGTGCAATATTCTAGGCTCAAAGTGTCCCACTCTAATCAGCTAATTAAGCCTAACACCTGCAAAGGGTTCCTGAGCCTTTAAATGGTCTCTCAGTCTGGTTCAGTAGGAATCACAATCATGGGAAAGACTGATGACCTGACAGTTGTGCAGAAAACCATCATTGACACCCTCCATAAGGAGGGAAAGCCTCAAAAGGTAATTGCAAAAGAAGTTGGATGTTCCCAAAGTGCTGTATCAAACCACATTAATAGAAAGTTATGTGGAAGGGAAAAGTGTGGAAGAAAAAGGTGCACAAGCAGCAGGGATGACCACAGCCTGGAGAGGATTGTTAGGAAAAGGCTGTTCAAAAGTGTTGGGGACTTTCACAAGGAGTGGACTGTGGCTGGAGTCAGTGCATCAAGAGCCACCACACACAGACGGATCCTGGACATAGGCTTCAAATGTCGTATTCCTGTTGTCAAGCCGCTCCTGAACAACAAACAACGTCCGAAGCGTCTTACCTGGACTGAGGAAAAACAGACCTGGTCTGTTGCTCAGTGGTCCAAAGTCCTCTTTTCTGATGAGAGCAACTTTTGCATCTCATTTGGAAACCAAGGACCCATAGTATGGAGGAAGAATGGAAAGGCACACACTTCAAGATGCTTGAAATCCAGTGTGAAGTTTCCACAGTCTGTGTTGATTTGGGGAGCCATGTCATCTGCTGGTGTTGGTCCACTGTGCTTCATTAAGTCCAGGGTCAACGCAGCCGTCTACCAGGAGATTTTGGAGCACTTCATGCTTCCTTCCGCAGACAAGTTTTATGGGGATGCTGACTTCATTTTCCAGCAGGACTTGGCACCTGCCCACACTGTCAAAAGCACCAAAACCTGATTCAATGACTGTGGGATTACTGTGCTTGATTGGCCAGCAAACTCGCCTGACCTGAACCCCATAGAGAATCTATGGGGCATTGCCAAGAGAAAGATGAGACATGAGACCGAACAATGCAGAAGAGCTGAAAGCCGCTATTGAAGCATCCTGGTCTTCCATAACACCTCAGCAGTGCCACAGGCTGATAGCTTCCATGCCACGCCACATTGAGGCAGTAAGTGCTGTAAAAGAGGCCCAAACCAAGTACTGAGTACATATGCATGCTTATACTTTTCAGAGGTCCGATATTGTTCTATGTACAATCCTTGTTTTATTGATTGCATGTAATATTCTAATTTTCTGAGATTGTGGATTTGGGGTTTTCATGAGCTGTAAGTAATAATCATCACAATTATGACAAATCACGGCTTGAACTATCTTTGCTTTGCATGTAATGAGTCTATCTCATATATTAGTTTCACCTTTTAAGTTGCAATACTGAAATAAATGAACTTTTGCATAATGTAATTTTTCGAGTTTCACCTGTATATTACTGCAGAGGAAGCTGAATCACTAGACATAGGTGAAAGATCATTGATTATGCGCAGCACAGTGGCTAAATAGTTAGCACTTCTGCCTGGCAGTACTAGGGTTGTTGGTTCGACTCCCAACCAACGCACCACCTGCCTGGAGTTTGCATGTTCTCCCTGTGCCTACTTGGGTTTCCTCTGGGTACTCCGGTTTCCTCTCACACTCCAAAGACTTGCTGGTAGGTTAATTGAATCCTGTCTAAATGAACCTTAGTGTGTGTGTGTGTGTGTGTGTGTGTGTGTGTGTGTGTGTGTGTATGAATGTGAGTTAGGGACTGTAGATTGTACATCCCTTGAGGGTTAGGGATTGATGTGAATGTACAATATATATGTAAGGTGCTGCGTAATTTGACAGCGCTATAGAAGTACCTATAAATAATAAATATATGCTAGGAATAAACCTCATTAACCTCTTGGCGCCGCCCTATAGCAGAAATACTTCTACAGGGCGGCACGGGTGCGCAAAATCGTGTGTATGTGTGTACGTGATTTTGCAGTTCCGGGTAGGGGATGCCCTACCCATGCCGTCTTTCGCGGCCTTGACTGTGAATCACCGGGTCCCGGCCGGTGATCCCCCGCCGACAGCCAGCAATCGCCGAGTATCACTGACGGTGGAGAGACCTGTGTATAAACTACACAGATCTCTCCCTTCTCAGCTCCTGCTATGCAGAGCCATACAAAGCAGTGTGCTTACAGTGTAAAGTGCACACAGTTAACCCTTTGATTGCTCCACATGTTAACCCCTTCCTGCTCAGTGCCATTAGTAGTGTCTGTGCTTGTTAGTTCCCCCAGTGTCAGAATGCCCGCCGCAGTCCTGCTATAAGTCACAAAAAAAATTCCAGTGTATATATACCGCCATTTTGTAGACGCTATAACTTTCACATAAACCAATTAATTTACACGTATTGGGATTTTTTTTTTTAGCCAAGACATGGAGCAAAATACATTTTGGCCTAAATTGTTGACAAAATTTGATTTTTTTTTTTTAAATTTTGTTTTATTGGACATGTTTTAATAGCAAAAAGTAAAAAATATAGTTTTTTTTTAAATTCAGAAATGTCGGTCTTTGTTTATAGCGAAAAAAAATAAAAAAACGCACAGGTGATCAGATACCACTGAAAGAAAGCTCTATTTGTGGGGAAAAATAGAACGTTAAATTTAATTTGGGTGCAGCGTTGCATGACCGTGCAATCGTCAGTTAAAAGTAACACAGCGCCATATCACAAAAAATGGCCAGGTCAGGAAGGGAGGTAAATCCTTTGAAGGGCAAGTGGTTAAAGCTGAGCTCCAAATGAACAGCTAAATACACAGATTAAATGGTTATAAGGCAGCTATTTTATCTGCCAAAGGATTTGTGTTTGTCAACTCAGTTCTGAGATTTACACAGCTCTGCCATACCACACAACCATGCCTGGCAGGGCAGGAGACCTACTTTTTCTGCTGAAGCTCAGCAGTGTTGCAGGGCCTCCTCCCCATCCCCTGGACAGTGACTGGACAGCGAAGAAGGAGCAGCACACCGATGAGCTCATCTTTCTGTCACTTTACTTTCTGCTTCGTGCAGCAGCACAACTGATTGGCTGCTTGTGCTGCTTCTTCCTCAGTCAGAGCTGTACTGTACAGAAGACTGCAGAAGGCTGTTTGCAAGATAAATTCTGGTACTTACACTGCTTGCATTAAACCAAACACGTTTAAAGATATATTAATGAATACAGAGGTGTCTTGTATCTGCCTGGAGTTCAGCTTCAACCAAAACAGCATTGTGTTTCTTGTTCAGAAATGTTCAGGTGCTTGTTTTAATGTGCTTTTTTTTTTCTTTCCCCAAAGTATGCTGTTCCCACTTTATTGTGGCTTCATTTGCTACATGTTCATTGTGGGTTGGGAACTCAAAACATTAATGTTAAAGGATGTGCATGACAGCTAGGCAGCTAGCATTTTCTGAAGGGGTCAACAGTTGTAGTCTTTGTGTATTTTTATTGACTGACAGAATGAACCTTTCACCTGAAAACCCTTGTACCCTTCGATGAGACGGTCTGTTGTACACATAGTTTTAGTATTGAATCATCCATAGATTTCAGTTTGACTGTCATTCCTTTCTTCTAGATGGGTATGAAAATGCAAAACATCTATGTGACTTGTATTACATAAGCTCTCCAGAACTGGAACTTGCAGAATTTAATGGTAAGATCTATAGTTATCAGGCATGCTTACACTGTGTGGCAGTATTCAGGTAATTCTATTCACATTTTTTTTTCCAGCTAAGAATCCAGGACAGCCAGTACAGGTGGTATATGTGCCTTCCCATCTATACCACATGGTATTTGAACTCTTCAAGGTATGTGTTTTTTCCTTTTAATGATATTAACAATAGGCAAACTCTAAATCGCATCTAAACCCAAGAGCAAAAATATTATATTGCAGCCTACCAGTCTTGGATGTGATACCCATTATTCGTTGTACCTGTCATTCCAGCAGCAAGAATCAATGGATTTTTGCAGTTAAAATGACAGGTGCATGTGAATAGTTGCAACTGCTCAGCCCTTTTGAAGTATTGACAGGCAGACAGTGGCCATTGCTGTTGACATGTAGCCGCACACCATGTGATTACCTGTGGTTAGGGAGAAGGCACTGGAGTTGATTTACTAAAACACGAGAAAGTAAAATCCGATGCAGCTGTGCATGATATCCAATCATGTTCTAACTTCAGCTTGCTCAGTTAAGCTTTCACAAAAAAAAAATGGAAGCTGATTGGTTTCTATGCAGAGCTCCACCAGATTTTGCACTCTCTAGTTTTGGTAAATCAACCCCACAGTGTGGTAACTCTAGGATGCTCACTTCTGACTTATGGTGCCCATACACTAGACGAAAAATCATTTGAAAGTCTGTTGTTTAGACAGTTTGTTAGTTTTTCGTCCAGTTAATGGGCAAAAATAGAAAATCTGTTGTGACGTTTTGAGCCCAAAAAAAATGAAAGTTAAGTTTGGAAATCTGCCAAGCGGACGATTGAAAGGGTTCTCTCTCCTGCTAAAAATCAAACTTGGTACTGTGCATAGGTGACAACCAACAAAAACTGATTAATGTAATTTATGTCCATTTAAATGATTTATTCAAAAATTGATCAATACATAATGGCAATAGCGTTTTCTCATACGACTGTGTGGTCGTTTTTCAAAAACTCATTTACATTATTTTATTTTTTGACTAGTGTATGGTTAGCATTAGACTGCAGAAGACATCCCTCTCTCATATTGCCTCATAACTGAAGTGTTGAGTTAGTAGTAGCTGACAGGTGAACTGGGCAATGCTTAAGATGCCGATGCAATCTGCAGATGCTTAAGATGTGCGGCAAAGGCAGAGCATCCATGATGTTAGGAGCGCACTGGATTTCTGGCAGATCAGCGGGCATTTTTTTTTTAAGGGGGTAAAATATGGGGAAGTGTGTGTGTGTGTGTGTGTGTGTGTGTGTGTGTGTGTATATATATATGTATAATACATTACATTACATTACATATACATATATATATATTATTGTCAAAAGTATTGACGCCTTCTTTTACACGCACATGAACTTTAATGGCATCCCAGTCTGTAGGGTCAGAACAGATTTACAGAGGTTCAATATTGAATTGGCCAACCCTTTGCAGCTATAACGCTTCAGCTCTTTGTGGGAACAGTTTGGGGATGACCCCTTCCTGTTCCAACATAACTCCATACCAGTGCACAAAGCAAGGTCCATAAAGACATGACCTCAACCCAATAGAACACCTTTGGGATGAATTAGAGAGGAGCCAGGCCTTCTCTCGTCCAACATCAGTGCCTGACTTCACAATGTGCTTCTGGAAGAATGGTCAAACATTCCCATAGAGACACACTCCTAAACCTTGTGGACAGCCTTCACAGAAGAATTGAAGCTGTTATAGCTGCAAAGGGTGGGCCAACTCAATATTGAACCCTCTAAGTCTGTTCTGCCTAAAGTCTTTCTCCTGCCTGCCAATGTTTTTATGACTTGTACACTAACTGTGCATGTGAGAAGCAAGTGCTGGGATAATAAACTTTCATGTGTGCAATGCGAGAAGCAAGTGCTGGAGATTAAACAAAAAACTTTCATGAGAGATTGCTGGCTTTTGCCGCGCTGAGCACTTTACAAGTAAAGGGTTACCTAATGTGCACCAATGCTGTGCATACTTGCAGATTATGACAACATTTCTTTGGGGACTTGAAACGTTTTGTTTCTGCTTTAAGCTGTCCATTGGCATTAAGTTAGCAAAGGACTATGATGGCATTTGGGTGTGTAGACACATTACAACCACTCTGGGGCTTTTTCCTTGGTTGGCTGTCCCAAAGACATGAATGTTTGGTTTGCCAAGTATATATGTTTGGATCAGGGAGGAACACATTTTGTACAGACTTTCCCAACACTAGCTTATTTTGGGAGGTTTGGGTGGTGAGGATGTGTCAGTAACAACTAGTGATGGTATAAAGTTTTCAAAGCTGGTCCATGATCTTTCCTTCAGAGGTTGGTTGGCAGGCAAGTGAAGCTTAGTAGTTATAGGCATTAGACATTCACCAGAATGTATCTATAGAAAGCAGATAGAAATGTGAAGACGTGTTCTCTGATTGAACAAGGTGGAAATTATGATGTCACCACCCCACCTCTCCACCTCAACCAATCAGAGAATGCTTTCCATTCAATGAGAAAATGCAAAGTGTTCCTGAATGATGCCTGTGCCAAGCAAGCAACCTTCTGTGTTCACAGTGCAGCAGGGCTGCCTCTCTGCATGGGATCCGGATGCTAGTAGAGATCACTGCAGTAGCAGTGCCCAATATAGTGATTTCCAGCTTCCATGGGGATTCCACAGGTTTGGCACATACATATAGATCGGATCAAGCTTGAAAAATCACCATACCTGAACTTCAGCTTTAATGTTAGTTTACACTCATAATTTGGTGTTTTTTGTCCTGTAGAATGCGATGCGTGCAACTATGGAATTCCATGCTGACAAAGGTGTCTATCCTGCAGTCAAAGTTCGAGTGTCCCTGGGGAATGAAGACTTAACTATTAAGGTAATTATATTTTATGTAATAAATATAATTGTGTCAAATTTGACTTTTTTTTTTTTTCTTTTTAAGACACTAAATTGGCTGCATATGGCACCATGTTTTCTGTTGTGTACCTGAGCTCAAAAACATTTACTGCACAGGAAAAAGAAAATGCTTTGACACAGGTTTCTCACTATTGGCCAGGCTAATTCATAAGTACTTGCAGGAATCTAGATTTATATTTTAAAACATTTTATAGGCTTTGGTGTAAATGTTTACTTTTTCAGAATGTTTAGTTTGTAAAAGGTTTAGAGACTGTTTTTAATCTTCAAAAACATATATTAAAGTGGACGAGTCATCATTTACACACCACATTTATGGCCCCTTTTGATCTTTTGAGGCTTTGTTACAGTTGGAATGGGCTTCCAATACATGACAATTGACCAAACACTGACTGGACCTGCAGGTGCAGCCCTATAGCCGGCAATTGCTCCCAAGTCCATTTGCCAGACTATTGTCAACTGGTTGAGACACATGAACAGAAATCAGGAACCTGTCTCTAAAGTGTTACTAAACCCACAACAGTAAAATCAGTCTGTATATGCAGTAAAGCATGCTTGATATACTCACTCTGAAACCTAAGGAGTTAAACCTCATTGTATAAAAATGCTATTTGATCCTGACTTCTCTGATCCTCCCCTTCTTCCAGTGCCTCTCTCATCTCCTGATAAGACATATCCTGTGGAGACACTCTTCACATGCTCAGTTTGGTGTGTATTTTTAGAGAGGTTTTGTGTTTTGTTTTGTTTTTTTTTTTTTCCTTGGGAGAGTGCATGTGACCAGCACTGTCCAGACAGAGGTTAGGGATTCTGCATGCTCTTAGAGCAGAAAGAAAACTCCTCCTACAAGCTTTAACCAGTGCTCTGCTGAACACTGATAGAAGTCACAAGACTGCTGCAAATGATAAGAAAAGGTATTCAACAGTTTATATTTACTAAAGTAATTGCATTTCCATATATTGTGTACTGTGGGAGACCAGATATAATGAATGCAGGGTCCTGGGTTTAGTAGCACTTTAAAGGCCCTGCTCTTAGAACAATTACAGGTGATGCCTTCAGTCCTATTTTTTGTTGAATGCTCCTGAGAATGTAATTTTGACAAGTCTCAAGAATCTCTGTGCACATGCTCAGGATTTTGTGTCTTATAGCTTGGTCTGATAAATTTGCTTCTAAGAAACCTTCATTGCATGCAATTTGTTGGTGAACACCTCTTTGGGAATCCTTTGACAAATTTATCAAGGAAGTAAATAGGAAAAAGGGACCACTATCCCATTAAAAAGCCCAAGTCTCCTACTCCTACAGCTTCTACCTTTAAGTCACCAGTCACACCGCTGCAATTTAAAATTGTGCGATTTGTGTGCAATTTCAGGTGTGATTTCTGAAGACTTTATTGCTACTTGTGAAGATTTCCAACGATTTCTTGCAATTTGCAGTGCCACTTCCATTATATTCTATGTATGTGAAATCTCCGCAAAACTGCGGTGAAAAAGTAATGCAAGAACTACTTTAAAAATTGCACTGCAGCAAATCGCACATGTTAAGACGCTGAAATTCACACTCATTAGGTGCGATTTCAATTTGCAAATCGCACCGGTATGACTGGGTACTTGCACAAAGAAAGGAATCTTTCAGTTCTTCCCAGATGTCAACCTCAAAAACAAGACTTAACATTTCTTTTGTTCCACGTCCTGGCCCACCAAGCCTTTCCAGAAGTGCTCCTTACAATGAAGGGACACCCCCTCTTTGTGGTGTAGGGGGGACGTCGATGGGCATTTGTGCTAGTCTGGATCCAAGTCATCCTGATACCGGAGTCCAATCTGTTTCAGAGTGGTGCAAATTATTTTCTATCCCTGTCTCCTTCTCGTCTTTCACCTTCCAGTCTGCCAGCTTCAGACCAAAGAAGAGCAGATTTGATGACCAACTTCAGGAACAAGACGTTGTAGCACCAGTTTCAATGTTTTCTATTCAAATCCATTTACAGTCCTCAAACCAAATGGTGGCATCTGCCCCATTAAAATCCCTAAACCAATCCCTTCATGTTCCAAAATTGTGATTGAAATCTTGCTTTCCTAAGACAAGAAGAGTTTCTTGCCTTATTAGACACACAAAATGCTTATCTCCATAGTCGCATTTTCCCATCACACCAATGCTTTTTGCATTTTGCTGTGGGAGACCAGCATTTGTAGTTTGATACTTCCATTCAGGCTTTCCTTTGCAACCAGAGTGTTCACAAAAGTGCTTTCCCTACTTCTGACTCTTCTATGAACTCAAGGCTTTCAAGTCATGTGTTATCCAGATGATCTCCTGCTGAAGGACTCCACAGCCAGGACCCTGTCTTCCAATGTCCAAAGGTCTAACCCAGTTCCTTTAGGCTTTTGCTGGATAATCCACTTTCTGCTCTCCAACCTTCACATCATCTGGAGTACCTGGGGCTAATCTTGGACACAGCCCAAAATCCAACTCTGACCTTTAGGTCACTACATACCTCAATTTGCTTCTGCGTGAGGGTTCTGGGGGCTCCGTTTGAGGCTGTTAATTTTACCCAATTTTACTCCAGTTCCCTTCAATCCAACAGCCTGAAGACATGAAACAAGCAGATACAATTTTTGGATTGACCAATGCTTCTGTCAAGTCAAACGAAGATCTCCCTGGCATAGTAGATTGCCAATCCTGCTCTAGAATTGGGAATGTCATTGGATTTGGGATGTGGTAATGACAGATGCAAGCCATACAGGTCGGGGCAGTGTTTACAACTCCCTGACTGTCCAGGGAATATGTCCACTACAGGATTTGAAGCTCCCCATCAACATTTTGAAACCGAGAACCATCAGATTGTCTCTGCAACTATGGACTTCCCTTCTACTAGGTCACCCAGTCAGAGAACAATAAGATAGTGCCACAGCAGTGTCCTACATAAACCATCAGGAAGACACAAGACGTTTTACAGCCCTGACAGAAGAAGTCCACTGCTCTGTTCTGTAGACTTCTATTTCAGCTTTGTTGACCATTGGATAATTAGCAGGTGGACTTCCTAAGCTGTCAAGGCCTAAATCTAGGACAGAGGTCTCTGCAATGCTAGATCTACCAAATGTGGACATCCTGGCCTTCAGGTTTAACAAGTAAATACATGGCCAAGACCAGGGATCCACTAGCCTTTGCAGTAGATACTTTGATTCTGTGGACGCTTTCAACTTGTTAATGGCTTTCCTTTGGTAAAATCTCTCTCGACTGCTGAGCAAGTGATTCTCCTTGCACCAAAACTAGCCCAGAATAATGTGATGCAGACATACTCAGGCTTCTGGCAAGTGACTTGGCCTTATAAACAGACTAGACTTACTGGACCAAGGTCCCTGTTCCATGTTGCTTCTTAGTCACAAGATTTAACAGCATGGCATTTGAGCCCCAAGCCCTAAAGGATGTGGCTATCTTTGATTCAGTTATTCCCAATTTAATCAAAGCAAGGAAATGCATTCCCTGCCAGATTTTCTACTCGCACATGGAAGACTTCATTGCTTGGTGCAAGGACAGAAGGATTAGTCGCAGGGAATACTATCTCGCTTGCACACTGCCTTTTGTTCAGTCTGGTCTTGACCAGCGTCTGGCCCATAGTACCCTCAAATGGACAGGCCTTAACTATCCTCTTCCAGAAGCCTCTTGCCCTACAATCCCTTATTAGGACTCGTATAATTCCCCCAATTCAACCTCCTTTTTGTTACCATTGGATCCCTCTCCCTTATGAACAATTAGAGAAATTAGGTTGGAAGACCTCACCTTTTTAATGACTCCTTCACACCATATTTACAGGAAAACTGATTGAAACTGACACGCAAATTTCACTTCAGTATACACCAGTTTTTTTTTCATGCAAGCTTCAGTGAGTTTTATACACATTGCAGATTCATATGCAGATGAAAAAAAATCTGCATATGATACCAGTGTGGTGTGAACAGGACACATGGAGAACAATTTTTTTTTTTTGTGCCCTTGCGGAATACCTGCAGAAAAACGAACATCTCTGCACAGGGTGTGAGTGAGGTCTTAAGGTTGTCTTCTTGGTTGTCGTCATGTCTGTTTTAGGTGTGTTTGAGTTAGCAGCTCTCTTTTGTGAATAGCGTTTTCTTGTTTTACAAGGACATGATGGTTTTATAACCAAAACCTTCCAATTTACCTAAGGTGTTCTCTTTCCACCTCAATGGGGACATTGTCCTGCCCCCCAAACATGACGAGGAGTTTTCCCAACATGGCCTGGATGCGGTCAGCGAAGTCATTCTTGAGGATAGAGACAGGTTCCTTTCAGGTAGACTTCAAGTCCCTTTTTGTCCTCCCTGTGGGCCATTGTAAAGGACATCTTGCTTCCCGCTCCACCATTGCCAGGTGGATCAGGCAACTCATTTTCTGGGCATACACCCTTAAGGAAAGGATTCCTTCCTTTTCCATCAGAGCCTATTCCACCAGGGCTGTTGGTGCCTCCTGGGCTTTTCATCATTGAGGATCTGTATCCTAGATCTGCAAGGTCACCAAGTGGTCCTCTGTTCACAAGTTTTCCAAGTTTTACCAGGTAAACATTCAGTCCTCAGCTGAAGTGAGCTTTGGCCATAAGGTGCTTGACACTGTTATTCGAGTATTTTATTCAGGTCCCTTAACCCATGTGCTTCTTGTGAGCCTATTTACAGTTCTATGTTGCTATGTTGTCTTACACCCCTCTGTTTTTTGTTTTTTTGCTAGGGTATGACCCTATGATCTATGAATACCAGTCCTCTACTGTATGATTCAGATAGCATAAATTTTAACTTCCTGTAAACTCTCTTTATCTTGGGAGCACAGTACAAGATACAGGTCCTTACTCTTGCTCACTGCTTATTGCTTGCTAAAAAAAATGGACCCTCACAAGTGGGTGGGGTTATATGGTACACTTTAGGGACAGCCCTAGCCAACTTTTTTGCCAGTGTTCAGTCGCCTGAAGGTAGGAGCATATAACCCGTGTGGTCTATGAATGCCAGTGCTGTATCCTGTACTGTACTCCAGTCAGTCTTTAATCTTCGGGTTATACTGCTGTTTTCAAGCGGAGTGAACACTAACAAACTGTAGGCTTCAGGATAACTCCCTTCTACTACCAGAATGTCTCAGGTTTTTTGCTAGATTCCCAAGAGAATGAACATTTTCCTTAGGCTTTGCAACTGTAAAGACTAACCTATTATTTTGCTACATGTTTATTTTTCAAAATATTTATTTCCTTCAATCAAGACTTTATTTTTTCTACACTGTTGTTGCAGGTTGGATGCTGTATAGTGCAGTCATCTTCAGTCTGACAGTTTGAGCACCATAGCCTGAAAGTGACCATTGGACATGGAGTTCTGCATAGGCTGCTTTTCAGACTCTGCTGTGAAAAAAGTTGGCTGCGGAGCTCTTTTCCATGTTTACTGACATTGCCTCAGCACTTTCCCTGTCTCTGTCAGACTGTGACCAGTCAGGCAAATTACCTGGAGCTTACCTCATTTTCATCAGTTGCTGAGCTCCATTTTTCCTGCTGTTATTTTGCCGCAGAAGCAGTTTACGCTGTGGGACTGAGCGTTGATATCACCCGTTGGTGGATTGTCCATGTATGTTTGCTCAGTGCCGTTTCCTGCCACGCATGGTCAGGAAAGCATCTTCACACTGCTGCTCCTGCTTGGAAAGAGCCACATGGAACTCAGATCTTCGATTAATTCCTGCTGTCCACCTACAATGATTGGGTCACTTTCAGCCATCTGACCCTCCAGTCATTGACCCTCAATAAACTACCAGCTGTCCAGGTTTTGTGAGTACTTAAGGCGCCTTGCCTCTTACACTAAGAATGATCATCCTCCCCTCAGTGATGCCAGATGCTTTTCACAGGGGAACCTGTTAAGGATCATGCCACTTACTCTCCAATTCCTATTCCCTTGGCCATTGACAAAACTCCTAGTGTTCTCCCTAAATCCAAGGTATTCTGTGAACGTAGTTTTCATTAGTGGTTTGTCACACAGGAAGTTTGATTTGCATGTAGGTATTCATAGATGTGGAAAGTTACATAAAAAAATTGTATGAAACAATGTGTATGACTAACAGGTTATTATTAGATATTTGTTCAATTTTAAAATTTCAAATGCATTAATCTCAAAATGAAAGCTAAACAATGTAGGGTAAATGATGTGGGTGTAACCTCTTGTCTGGCTAATACTTGCTCCAGGTTGTATTTCTCTGCTGTGTATGTAAGATAGCATAGATTGTATAGAACCATTCGCATACTTTTGCCCTGATGGAGTGTACGGTTTTAAAGAATTGTTTCTCAACCTCTTTTTAGTAGTGACACCCTTTAAAATTCTGCATAACCTTGAGGCATCCCATTCTAAAATGTAAAGATCGAAAATAATAATTTTACATAATGCAGCAAAATTCACATATGTAGGACACCGCTTTTAAGAGGTGATTTTATTCTTCCAAAGCAAATACACCTTTGCAAACTGGTACTGACAAGTATTCCAACGTTTCTCTCCCTTACTCAGCTTTGTGACTCCAGTGCTGACAGAAGGGCAGGTGAGGAGCAAACAAGGATGCTGTGCAAGCACCTCACCATCCTTCATATCAACTGATGTTGGTTGTTAGGACGCTGGCATCTAGAAGGTTTTAATGGTGCAGAATGAAAACCTGTGGCTTTGCGTAACTAAAAGGCAGGCTTGATTCATCTGCTGGCTTGTATACAATTTTTTGGCAATTTTTAGGCATTTTGCCAAGGCACCTTGGTTGAAAAAGGCTGGTTTAAAATATGTCTTTGATGAGACTGACAAGGTAGGTTCCATTTCTGACTTTCCATTTTGAAAATCTAATTTGCCCGTTTATTATGCAGACTCTTGCTTACAGTACGTTGCCACTAAACTTGAACATGCAGATAAGAAGTTGACTTGCCTACTTAGCGACTCAAAGTATTGATGCCAGCAGGACAGAGTAAAAGCCAGGCATCTTGCATTTACAAAAAAGATTGTTCGTAGCAGCCCTTGGTATATTTCTGGTAGAAAAGGTTTTACTTTGTCCCTATCACAGTCGACATTGAGTGAGTATGCAAAATGGGTTAACAACACAGGCAACCCACAATACATCAGTATGGCTTATCAATGGCCTAGAAAATCAGATAGGTTTTCTTTTAATCTGTGTTTATTCTGTGTAAGATTTTGTGTCTATTTTTATTGTGTGCACCTTTTTCTGGCTATGAAAGGCAAATGAAAATGTATTGGTAAACTTGTACAGATAACAGATGTGTTTTTTGTGTGTTGCAGCTCAGTGATCGCGGCGGTGGAGTGCCACTACGGAAGATCGATAGATTGTTCAACTATATGTATTCCACAGCGCCACTTCCAAAAATGGAGACTTCTCGTGCCACTCCACTAGTGAGTCCATGCCTTCTTATTACCATTTTATTGTCTGAGATAATTTAATTGAAAAGTAGAAAGTTTTTATATATCCATTGCCACTTACCTAGTTTTTAAAACTGGAAAGCACTCAATATGCAGTCCACAGTCTGACAGCCTCACATAACGGATGCCCATCTTCTCCAATGTATTCTTATTTACAGCAGCACAGGGTTGATCTGTGCTTCTGAGTTGCTCCAGTTTTTCTCTGGGCTATAAACTTTCATGGAAACCTTCAGTTTTGAGATTATGGTTTTAATGCAATAAGCTATTTCAAGAAGATGCCTATCACTGCACTGTATGTAAAGTGCATCCAGACTGTCGCATGCAGAAATTTAGGATAGCAATGTCAAAGTTTTCGTTAACATCATCCGGATGGCCAGGTGTGCATACGTTGCTCTTCTGGGTAAGAGACGGCACTGGGATGCAGTATGGGAAGAATGCAAGCTGGCAGAGTCAGTTTGATGCTTTGGGTGATTTTCTGCTGGGAGAACTTTGGTCTTGCCACTGATGACATTGACACGTACCATCAACCTAAAATAAACATTGTTGCTGACCAAGTACAACCCCTTCATGGAAATGGTACTCCCCAATGGCAGTGGCCTGTTTTAGGAGGATGATGCACCCTGCCACACTGCAAAAATGGTTCCAGAATGGATCGAGGAACACAATGAGTTTGAGGTGTTGATTTGGTCTCCCAATTTTCCAGATCTCAATCCAATTGAGAATCTGTGGGATGTGCTGGAAGAACAAGTCAGATGCATGGAGGCCCCAGCTCACTACTTGCAGGACTTAAAGGATCTTCTACTGATATCTTGGTGCAAATGGCACAGCATACCCTCAGAGGTCTATTGGCATCCATGCCTTGATGGGTCAGGGCTGTGTTGGTAGCAAAAGGGGGACCTATGCCATTTTAGGTGGGTGGTTATAAAGTTATGGCTGATTGGTGTATACATTGTGTGCACGTATGCGTTCAGTGAGTTATGCCAGTCTAAACTGTGGTTCAAGGCTTGACAGGCCACTTTTTATTGAAAAAGAATAGTTCAGCACAGCGGTTGCACATGTCAGCACGGGCGTCAGCTTCACATAGCAAAACAGTCAACAGAAAATGCTCTCTCCTCAGTACTATTGCTGCTGTTGGTATTGACCCCTCAGACCTGGCTCTCGCTCATCCTGGTAGATTGCAGCACAGCAACGTTATAGAAACTGTTGGGTTTCCAAGCCAGAAGTAAGAAGACAGAAAATGAATGTGTTTGATGTCTGGTGTTGGTTGTAATTGAGGTTAACCATTGTGTAATGCTCTGTACCATGCTTCGGCCAACTACATTTTTGGTGTGTGTGTGTATATATATGTGTGTGTGTGTGTATATGTGTGTATATGTATGTGTGTGTGTGTGTGTATATATATATATATATATATATTTATATATATATATATATATATATATATATATATATATAAATATGTTTTTATTGAATGTATATATGTATGTATATAAATCCTTTTTTTTTTTTTTTTTTTTTAAAGGCATATAAATTTTTTAAGTTTACTATGTAAAATCTTGTTTCCTTCAAAGGCAAGCTAAAATAGGGTTTGCAGTATTAAGGGGTGGTGGCAACCTCTTGGTTTCAGCTCTTTTCTAAAGACTCAAGTTTTTTTAACCTACATATATTTTGTGCATGAAGGTAAAAAACCTTCTGTGTGCAGTTGCCCCCCACTTTAACTCCGTCATAGGAAGAGGAGGAGGCAGCTGCTGAGGGCATTGCAGTTCATGCCACACTGGACTGCAGTGTGCTGCAGTAGGATCAGACAATGTGCAACATTTCATCCTGTGTTTGGAGCTTGATCAGAACATTTTAGCTTTGGGTTGTATGATAGGTAGAGGGAAAAAGCCAGACAGAATGTAGCCGTCTGCCATTTTATTGATACTTCTTATCAGTTAAAGCTGAACTCCAGGGAAAGTAAAAATCCTCTCTTGCAGTGCGGCTGCCCCTACACTGCAAGGTTTAAATGCTCGTTCAGGTCTGGGAGGAAAGAGAAGCAGTTTTACTTACATAAACCTCTGCTCCTGCGGCTCCTGTGTTCTTTAAGACCTGTCCCTGCAGCTTCTTTTCCCTTATACCCCAGCGTTCTCAGGTCCTCTGACATCATCAAGATGAATGCAGGGTCTGTAGCTTTGCATTGGATGTGAGAACATCCAGGACCAGTCCACAGCTGGAGCATAGGGGAGCACTACCTGGATAACAGAGGATCCGGTAACTAAAACTCTTCTTGTTCCCTAAACCTGAACAAGCATACTGTAGGGTAGTACAGACTTTTCCTATTATGAGATATGTCGGTAAATAAGGCTCCGGGTTTGTGTTCTTTGTTTTTTTTTTTTTCTGTCAAAAAGTGGCAACCTTGTCATATGCACTAGACAAGCAAAATTCAGGTTGTTTTTTCTGTAACATTCAATGCATTTTATGTGTTTTTAAATAGGCCGGTTTTGGCTTCGGTTTGCCTATATCAAAACTCTATGCCCGGTACTTCCAAGGAGACCTTAAGCTGTATTCTTTAGAGGGATATGGAACAGATGCTGTAATATATATTAAGGTATGACAATTTGTGTTGATAAGACATTTTCCTGTTTTCTGAACCACATCACCCAAGACTCACACATACAGGAACTCCTTTTTTTCTTTTCTGTCTTCTACATCTCCAGTCAGTGCTCTCCTTGGTGTGGAGGGTTTTCCTGAGGGAGCAATGTAAGGACAGTGGCTACAGGGTTAGTGTTCGTAGATGCAACAGTCTGCGCTCCTATTGGTGCGGCAAAGGGTGACCTGAAACTAAAAACATTGCCAAAGAAGCACCTCTTTGTACTGAGCTATTTACCTCCATATGGACATTTCTCTAATCCACAATGTTTGGCTATGTTAAAGGCATTTTGTTTTCTGTTTTAAAATAACAAACATGTTATACTTACCTGCTCTGTGCAACGGTTTTGCACAGAGGAGCCCTGATACTCCCTTTCTTGGTCCCCCCACCGGCACTTCTGGCCTCTCTCCCCCTTAGAGTGCCCCCAGAGCAAGCAGCTTGCTATGGGGGCACCCAAGCAAGCTTGCTCCCGAGCTGCTGCTCTGCTTGTCAATTCACACAGAGTCGTGGGTCGGCACTGTCCCCTCTCTCTGTTCATTGGCTCACTGACTGTGATTGACAGAAGAGCTGAGGCTCTTGTGCACATTTCTGGATTGTGATGAGGCTCAGGTAAGTATTATGGGGGCTGGGAGATTGCTGCAAACAGATTTTTTTTTTTTACCTTCAGGCAAAGAATGTGATTTTTCTATGGGAAAAAAGACAGTTTAGTCGGTATGCTTTCTGCTGGTGTTCTGTATATTCAGATATGTTACTTTTCCACCAGCAGTTTAATTCTTCTTATAAAAGCTCCATAAATGCATGTCTTCTCCTCTTGATTAGGCTTTGTCCACGGAGTCAGTAGAACGTCTTCCTGTTTATAACAAGTCAGCATGGAAACATTACAAGACCAACCATGAAGCAGATGACTGGTGCGTGCCGAGCAGTGAGCCAAAAGATATGACAACATTCCGCAGCAACTGATTGGTTCAGCCTATGTGACCAGCATATCGCATTCTACATCTTGGTTTCTTATTGGGTGCATTTGTCTGGTTTGCACTCTTTATAATCCACTGGCTATAAAATGTGCACTCTGTAATCTGATTTATTTTAGTCTTTAGCCAGTTTCCTCCAAATACGTAAAATGTGGGGGGCATTTTACCTCCTGGTTTCTCAAGTACCTGTCAGAAGTCATGAAATTATCAGTCCGTGTAGCCCCTGGACTTGCCCTGAGCCACCGGCCTGTTTTGGTCTAGATAAACACTGTGGCCTAACCAGTGGGTTTGTAACCAGTCCTTCATGTACCGTTGGGGTACATATGAAAGGGTTAGAGGATGCCCCTACTTCCTAAAGGTGAACTCCAGCTACATGGATAAATCTAGTTAGACACCTGTACAACCACTGTTTTACATTGTGAAGTAATACATCAAGAAGCTAGCGATTCGCTTGCCCTTCCTGTGCTATAGGGCTACATATGTGTTTCTGTAGACCCTTCCTTAACCCCACCACCTATCCCTTCTTTGGACTATTAGTGATGATCACCTTCAACAAAGCCATGTAAATACTTCCCACTTCCACTCATGAACTTGCAGAGCGAGTTCTTTCACAGCAAACCTGATTTCAACTTTCAGCTGGTGTGTTGTGGCCTGTGTAAAGACAGATGTCAGGTAATTTTACCCTAGTTGAACTGGGAAAAAAGGATTTCATGACTTTAAATATAGATTGGCCTGGAGTTGCCCTTTTGATTTTATCATTTTAATATCTTCGCAGATAATTATATTTAAAACAGATTTGAGTGTGTATTTAAGTTATTTAAAACATGGATTGTATGATACCCATTCTATAGAAATGGGTTATTCTGCTAATAAACTGACATTTGGTAAGGGGAACTTTAAGACAAAGTTATGGGAATTGGGTCAGAATGGATTTTTTTAATGAGGGGTACATAGTTCAGTGAAGAAATACTGGCCTAAAACTCACTTTCGTATATAAGTGAGCTAGTATGGGGGATGGGGATCAGAAAATCGGCTGGGAGAATAGGTGAGATCAGAGTACTTTTTGCACACATGCCCTGCCTGTCAGTTATGGTGCATTCTAAAGGAATTATTGGGGGATGGATATAAAGAGACGCTTTAACTAAAATGCCAACTTTTCCCCTCACTGGCCTTTATTTTGGGTTTCCGATGGTGTATTTTGCAGACTGGGACATTTTCCATTTTTCACAGTTTAAAGTATAACTAAAGCTTATTATTATTGTTTGTTTCCTATAGAGTGGAGAGAGATTAGAACACCTTTGGGGAGATCACCCTCTCTGTTTGTCCTATGTACCTTTTATCAACAAAAGAGAAAATGTCACAGTTTGGGTTGTCTCCAGAACAGTATAGAAGGGAAGTCTTCCAATGTGGGCATTAGTTCTGGTGACAACCAGGTATTCACTTTGGAGGGATTTCTTTCTCACCTCCTGTGTTGGCTACAGGACAGGAAGTGAAGGGAAATTTGCCCAACGGGACACAATGGTTATAACCCTCCCTTACTCTTTCCAAAATGGGGGAAAAATGGTTTTCCTTTAGTTCTACTTTAAGTATTGTGAACAATTTGGTAATTGTTTTCACTGAAGTTTTGTGCCTTCTTAAAGGAAACCTGTACTGAGAAAAGTATGGAGGCTGTTATTGCTGTGCTGCCAGGGGAAATGCAAGCTGCCTGGGTGTTTCTGCATTTCTGGGAGACATCCGTCTTAAAAAAAGCATTGCAGATTTAGGACATCCTTTCAGTCGGTTTGCATGATTCTGAATCAGGGACTTAGAAAGTAATGAAGCCATTGGGTTAGTATGACAGCCAGGGAACTAGGAGAGTTAAGCAATGTCAGCTTGCACACTTCCTTACTGCAGGTTTTCTTTTTAAAGAACTCAAATTTCTGTGTGCCAAAAGTGTTTATTTTTCCTTGAAGGGTAAAGACAGTGTATCATTTTAAGCAAAATATCTCTGATGTGTCACAGCCTACAAAACAATCTTGATATTGTATTTATCTGATTACAATATGGAGCCATGATAGTCATATTGCAATCTTGAGGGATTATTGTTTATTTGTAATTTTTGTTTGGAAACCGTCATTGAGGCTAAATGACTTTATAAAGTGAAATGACATGAAAATTTAAAGTTGAGCCTAAAGGTCCCATTTATATTTGTGCAGTGTGTTGCGTTAAGGAAGCCCGATCCTTTGAATGGGCTGCCTGATGTATCCAAACTCCCACAAATTTGTATGTAATGCAGCATATTACAGTGAACAGGAATGTGTCATTGTGTGTTGTGGTGTGCTGATCTGCAAGTCCGTTGGGAAGGCTTCAGAATGAATGGAACTACAGCACACCAGTGCATTAAATGTGCAATGTGTTCCTGTGATGCAGCAGTGTGACTCCACTAAGTGGATAGATCAGTTAAAGGTGGAGTTGATGATTGATGTAACTCATTTACAGTCTACCAGACCTGAATTGTTTGGGGACGTCGGCCACTACATTAAAAGTAAAAACAACAAAAAAAATGATGCTCCCTACTGCAAGCAGAATTTTTGCATTACCGTCTCCTATGTAACTATACTTAAAGCTGCTGCACCCCCATTCTAAGCCCATTCTAATTATCCTGTAAAGCAGTGGTTCTGAACCTGTGGGTCGTGACCCCCTTTGAGGGTCGAACGACCCTTTCACAGGGGTCACCTAAGACCATTGGAAAACACATATTTCCAATGTGTGTAAAGAGCAGCAGCTACTGTGTTGAAAGCAGCTACTGTGTTGAAAGCAGCTACTGTGTTGAAAGCAGCAGTATTGGAGGTAAAACAACACTTCATGAATTATAATTACGGGGTAAATAATTTTATGGTTGGGGGTCACCACAACATGAGGAACTGTATTAAAGGGTCGCGGCATTAGGAAGGTTGAGAACCACTGCTGTAAAGGAAAGCGGTCTATACTTGCCTATGCTGAGGATTCTGCAATGCAGTCACATGATCTCTCCAGCAGCGGGCTTCAGTGAAGTGATCGCTGACAACGACTGCAGGACATTTGTGGTGACATCACCCATAGGCTTACTATGGGGCATCTAATTTCGGCTCTCCCTTTTCTAGAGCTCCTTCGGCATAGATAAATCTAGACATCTTTCCTTTAGAGGGTAGTTAGAAGAGGCTTAGAATGGGTGTTAGAGCAGGTTTAAGTATAGTTAGAATTTGAATGGACTTCCACTGTAAATATTAGAGAATTGATTCCAGTATTTCCCTAAGCAACTACCTGTAGACTGCCAAGTATATTCTACGCTAAGAGCCCCTCATGGCCTTTTTTCCCCCCTCCCCACCAATTAATTAAAGTGAGCATCCACCCAAATATAACTCAGGTGCATGCTATTGGATTCAGTCACCTGACACCCCAATAGGGAAATCTTCTACAATAAACTTTTTGTTAGAGAAGTATTTATTCTGCACTTTCCCTATAAAAAAAAGTGTTGGGATCATACCCTACAATAATCTGCCTAAATTGGAACCATTCATTTGTTTTGGAATTCCTTTTGTTACTTGTACACTGAATCAGCACATCCATTGTAGATTTTTCTTCATGGCTCGATAATGCATTAATAAATGAAGTGTCAGGTTTGTGTATTGGGATTCCCTAGATATGCACTCCTATCATTGTGGAAGGACAGGGCTGCTGATTTCAGCCTATAGAACATGTTCTTCTCTGAATCCTCCATGTCATGGGTTCAGTAAGTGTTTGTAAATCCTTTGCACTGTGCAATGCAATGCTGCTATTGCTGCTACTACAAAATATGGTGACTGGACAATGCACAGCCTCTCCCTAATTCCCCCTAATAGTGATGAGTGATGGGGAAAGCCTGTGTATGTACTATACTTGTCTTTGTAGCTCCAGGATCAAATAATAACTTAAGTAAGGACACCTCTGAACAACAAGGGGTAAGGACCATGTTAGACAGGCAGATGCTGTACTCTGCTACAAACTGATCTCCTTCTCTGATTTTCTAACAAAGCTATAGAGGTGACTGAAGAGTGATTGTCGCTGGTTATGGTTTTTTTTTTTTTAAGTTAGAAAATAACTGAAGGAAAATTGCTGCAAATTGTCTGACATGGCCCTAAGAGACTTCACTGCAGATCTGCATACTTTATATAAAGTTTATTTTAAAATATGTAACCACCCACATCATTCTCCACCCAGAAGCGGTAAAATTGGTAAGCAGTGTTTTGTTTTTTGATTGTAAGTCTTTCATAGTGTGTGTTCATTTTGCTTTGGTTTAAAGCTATGTCATTCATGGTGCCTTTTTTTTTTTTTTTTTTTATCCTGCATGTAAAAAAGTAAATTAGAATCAAAATTATGCAATAGATTTTCAAGAAAATCTCAGCAAGGTTTCACTATATATAATGTGTGCTGAGTGGATTCTCTATCAGCCCATAAGGTGAATTCACTAGCAGGTGAAAGGAAATGCCAAGCTGGCCAGCCAGTTCCTTGGGAGAGCGATTATCTGCTAACAAGGGAGAAAGGACTCCACCACCCCTCACAGTGACAAAATCCTTTTTTTTTCATTTAGAGGATTTAAATGTAAAACCGAATCTGTGTTCTCAGATGTCATGCTCTGCATGATCTATATGAGAAGGTAAACACTGCACATGTGTTGCTGCTGTTCACAATGGGGGGAATAAACAAAGATTGGTGGAGACTTTTTGCCTGCACAACTCTTCTATGCTGAAAAAACCTAGAAGGTCCTGTTACGAATTAACAAAAGGGACTCGAGCTCCCTGGGTAATTAGTTGCAATCTCTTTTATGCTATGTTTGTGACAGACCTGAAACCTACTAGTTCAGCTGGAGCTTTATGCCCGGATCCCTTTTCCTCATTAAGCAAAGTGTGGGAGGAAGGAGGGTTGTGCATTATGCATGTCCTGCTTGTGTCGTGTAATCACTGCATGAGCAGAGAGAGGAATGTGAGCTGT